ACTGGATAAGCAAAGTTGTTCTAAGTGCCAAATAAAATTTAAATATTATACTTGTCAAACCTCTTACATTTTGAGAATCCTACTCTAAATAAACTGATGGATGCCAGTGGGGTCTCAACTAGCCAGAAAACTACTTGGTTACATAAAGATACACTGTATAAATAACATTATGATACTTAAAAGAACTGAATTCTGAGTGTACTAAGGGTTAATTTTCTTGGCAGACAGCTGATTTACTTTTTTCCTCTTTCTCCTACATGAAAATCTTTGGTCCTGGGAATGGAGTATTCCTCGTGCTAAGGGCAAACTAGAGAGAAAAGAAGCATGGGGGGGTTAAAATTAAATTTTAAACTGGAGTAGTGCAATTGAACTAGAATGTTTCATTTACATTGGCATACATGAGTATGGATGACTGTATTGATGACTATTTATTTAATTCTGATACCATTGACAAACTATGTCTTAATATCCCCACCATACAGCTGCTGAGGATTCCTACTTCCAATGCCCAATTTCATCCTAATAAGAATTAGAGAAGTGAGGAAGAAGATATGCCTTACCTGGCCCTAATATGAAGCCAACTGCTTGGCAGGCACTGGTGTTGGCCATGGCACTTGTTCTTTCTGTAAGAGAAGTGGCACCCGCAATATACGACCGAACTACAGCCACATTTCCTTAAAAAAAAACAAACAACAAACCAAAACCAAGGAAGTATTCATGTAAATATTAAGTTATATTGTTAAAATCTTGAGTGACATTTATTTTAGGAGTTTTTTCCTTATTTTGCAAGAAAATAAAACCCAGAACTCTCCAGTATTTTTACTACTGGTACTGAAATATGATGTTAACTATCTCACATGAGAGACAGAATGTAATAATTTTCAGAAAAGTAAAGTCTGCTGTGGTTACCTGCTCCAAATCCCACGAGAGCACGTGCAGTCAGCATGTAGTATTTGTTGTGTGAGTGAGGTACATGGACATAGGCATAGAGACAATTAGCAGCTACTGAAATGGCAGTTGAAACGACAAGAGGTTCTCTCCTGGGCCTGTAATTGGACCACAAGCCGAACAGGGGAGAGGCAACCATTTGGCCAATGCTGTATGAAGCTATAATCCAGCCCAAAAAACTCGCGTCTGCTGTCGGATCGATCTGCAGAAACACATTAATCAGTACTGTGGGGGAAGTATTACAGTGTTTTATATTATCAATAACACTCTTTTAGAATTAGTACCTGGAATACCCAAGACTCTGTACTGTAATACTTTGTCTGGGGCAATAAACTTTGGATAACTCTCTCTGCACCAAACCAATGCTTTGCTACAGAGACTGGAAAGGGCTCACTTGCAGCAAACTCCAATAGATTTTGTACAGCACTGCTGATGTTCTAGGCTACAGACATAACTTAAGCAGTACAGTAGACAGTTTACATGCCAGGAGCAAGGAATCACTTCAATCATCTCTGCACATGCCCGAATCTGTCCTGATTTACAGGGCTGATAATGAATTTTCTTCTGAAAGAATTCAGCACCAGCCTCACTTTTAATGGTACCTCTAGGACCCTGCTCAGGATATGTTCTTCCAGATTTGCATTTGAAACTGCCTTCTGCAATTCCAGGAGCAGTAAAATCCTAGCGCAGATTAAATTAAAGTTTTAGAGACTTTTATGCCACTTTTAACAACGCAACAAAGAGGTGAAAAAATCCCATACAAACTAAAATCACTATCCAGGAGCAATGGCAATTCCTTTTTAGGAATATCAAAATCTATGTGCAACAATGTGACATTTACAGAGCAACTTCTACCTCCAGCTTCTTTTTTTTTTTTTTTTTTTTCCAAAATGCAGACAAGTCATGTATTGTGTTTTAATAAAGGGATTTCTATTGATTCACTCTCCAACAAAACAGTGACATGATACTGGAAAACCAAACATTTCTGGATTATGATGTACCTTTTATCAATTCAGGAAATCAACTGGCCAGATTTTTAAAGAAATAATAAAAGCTGTCTAAGTGGATGGCAGAATAAAAGTCTCTTATAACCACACACTTCCCTTTACTTTTTCTTTTCCTAAATAAAAGCCTAAGTTTTGTATCACCTACTTTCTGAGCACAATTTTTCTGTCCTTACCCGTGAAGAAAAACATATTTACAAACCTTTTGGAGATATGGCCACACAGACATAATTACAATTGAGAAACCTGTAACACAATAAAAACATAATTGAAGTTATTTTATTTGCCATTTTTATCAGTACTTTGCTTTACTGAAACAGTTATTACAGGTTCATTCTTATGCCTCTATGTGTATTATAGTCTAAACCTGTGCATCAGTTTGTCATCTGAAAAAAACTATGCATTATGTGCTTTTTTTAAGGAGTGATAATTCCTCCCAACAGAAGGAACTATTTTTAAAAGGTCATTTTATAGGTGCATACACACTAAACAAAAAAACTCTCAATGGAAAGACAACAAGGTCCCCAAAGAAAAAAGAATTTCTTGATATACTGACATATCTGTATTCATTAGTAAAAGAAATTTTGATTCATCAAATTAAAAAAAAAAGTTACTGATATATTCTATGATATATTCAAGATAATTTCTAGGCCCACAGAAAATCACCACAAGTCAAAAATCAACAGAATTCTTGTTTCCAGGGGGATCTATTTAGAATACAACGGTAATTTGTTCTGCAGTGGAGACGCAAAGTCCTGTAGGAGAAAACAAGTTTTGATACATATTTTGAAATAGATAACATATATTCCCATAAAGATCTTCCCTCTCAAGAACTCTGCATTATTTGTTTTTGATCCCTGTAATTTTCACTTTGAATGATAAAACCGTGACCTTTGTTATGTTCAGTTCCAAGCAATGACCTTACCTTGCCACTACCTTTTACCCCCCTGTTATGACTATAACAGAGTCATAAACCATGGATTTATGTAATATGTCACTTAGTCTCAAAACAGTTTTATAACTTATCTCATTAAATGTAACTTTCTGTTTGATTTGCTAGTCATGCCTTCTCTTTTGAAGAATCACAAATGCTCCTTTTTGAGGTTATAAAAGAGCAGTAGCGTTAAAGAAGGTAAGTAGTTAAAATCTAGAATACCCTGTAATTTTCAAACCAAAGTATATTCATTAAACACATAACATTTAAATCCACATGTGTTTACTCACCTACACTACTGAGAAACATTGTAAGGTACATAATCCAGATGGATCGCCACCTGCTCTTATAATGCTCTTGATTTTCCACAACATCCCTGTTTTCAAACCAGAAGTCAAGAAAGAAAGAAATCATTATCAGATCCTCTTCTAGTTGGTCCCACAGGACATTGAAAACATTTTTCACAAACCTCTCAATACAATTGTGTGAATTGTTATGCAGGAGTGGATTTCTGCTCAGCAAAGACTACAAAGAATTTTTTTTTTCTAAAAAATACTAGACTCACAAATCAAAAAAATAACAGAAATGCTATCACATAACAAATGTTACACAAAGAGATTTTTATCTAGAGAGGTCTTCAATTCTGCAAACTCCTTGTACAGACACTTTGGAGCATCACAGATGTCATATAAAGGCATTAAGAAGCGTGAATTAAACTATAAAACCCCAGACATCTATTCACAATCGTGACCTTGAAAGAACCACAAAATTCAACAACTATTGATTTGAATAAAAGCTATGGCTGGTCTATTCTCACAATGAGAAAATAACGATACAGTGTAAAAGCTACACTGTGTAAAAGATAAGCTGAAGACTGTAGGGGCTGAAAAAAAATTAAAATACAAGTTACAAACTTAAAATAATCTCTGTCCAAAAGACGTAGACTTAGGTTATAGAGGCCTGAACAGTTTATAAACACAGTTTATATAGGTCATACATAGACTTAGGCATGTCTGCAATTTTAAAACTAATGTAACTGTGACTAATACTAGTAACATATTACTGGTATCTTAGTATTACACTAATCACAGCATGATTTGTATATTTAATTCTTCAGAAATGTTTACAGCATTTAAGTGCCTTGGTTCAATGATACTTTAACAACACAAACAAAGTTTCTAAATGTACTTTGCCATCTTATTGCCCATTACGGATAGGGAGAAATCTGCCAAACACATGCAAATGCTGTGTTTGGTTACTTTTGAGACCTTAGTTACACCAAGCTTCAAGTTTGAGAGCGTTTCAGCACAGACCTTAAAGCAAAGACCCGCTCGAGTTTTGCTGTCAGAAGGAAAAAAAAACCCAAGTGACCAAATCCTGCCCACACATGAAGGCTGATATTAAACACCCAGACTTCTGCACCACTGTTTCCGTGTTTTTTAGGGACTTCTCGAGTGGGTTTGTGTTCTTCTAAAAAGAGAAGGAACCAGCCCCAGCCGCGCTCCCGCTGCCGGGCCTGGGACGCTCTTGAGACCGCGGATCCAGGCTCGGCAGCGCCTGGGGACAGCGGCTAGGTCGGTTTATCTTCCGGCTCCTCTTCTCCTCTCCTCAGCTCCTCCGTGTCCATCCCCCGTGCCGGGAAGCATCCTCAGGAGCCGGGCTCCCCGTGCGGGGCGGGCGGGGAAGGGACTCGGCACCCACGGGCGGCACCTCGGGTGACTCGCGGGGGTGTCGCCCCAACGCCCGGCGCCGCCTCAGAGCAGAACGAGCCCCTACCTGCTCTCGTTCTCCTCCTCCTCCCCCTCCGCCGCCGCCTCTCCGGCCCCCAGCAGAGGTTCCCTCCCGTCCGCAGCCGCCGCCGGTCCCGCAGACGCCATGGCCGCTCCCGGCCCCGCGGGCCGCCAGAGGGCAGGCGGGGAAGGCAGCGCGCCCCCGCGTCCCCGCCACTGGGGGGCGCTGAGCGCAGGGCCCGACCCCGCCGAGCCGGGCGCGACACGAGAAAGGGGCGGGGCGGGCGACGGTCACGCGCGCCGCGGAGGGGCGGGGCCGGCGGCCTCCCGCGGGCGCTCGGCCTTGCTCGAGCGCTCGCGCGTGCGCGCCCGATCACCCGCACGCGCGGGGCGCGTTCCGTCCCGCCCTTCGCCCTCCCCCCACCCCCTCCCCCGGTCCCTCCTCCGTTCCCCCCATTCCCGTTTCCGTTCCTGTTCCCGTCCGCCCATGTGGTGCCTCAGCACCGGCAACGCCTCGGGTGAGCAGCGAGTGACCTTCTCGGGACGCGGGGGTCGCCAATTCCGTCCGCCCGCCCAGTGAGCAGCGGTCGCGGTGTCCGAGCGCTCCCACTCAGAGCAGGAATCGCCGGGGCTCCCCCTCACGGCACTGCCCGGCCCCGGGGGCGGGCTCGGGGTCCGGGGGGCTGAGGGGGCGGAGGGGCCGCGGGTTTCCGCGTCCCGCCTTCCGCCGCCCCTTCCCGGGGGCGCTGGGGTAGTTCTGGGTCCCTCTAGGGCGGGCCCGGGGGAATTTGGGTTTGGGAGCCCCACCTGCAGCCCCAGTCAGCGTCTGCTGAGCCCTGCTGCTCACGCCCCTGGTTTCGGTCCCCTTGTTAATGTTCAGGCTCCTCTGTGTCCGTCCTGTCGCGTGGAATCATTGTGGGGTTTGTGTCTGATTTGTCGCCGTGACTTCTCTGTGATTTCTTTGATTTTAAACAATCATTTCTTCTATCCGAGAAAAGGACCTGGCGTTAATTGGAAGAGATGTTTTTAAATAAAGTCGTAGGGTAGGGAAGTTAGGGATTCAGCCTTCTAAAACAGACCTTCGTGGCCTTTTCAGGTTGACTTCTTGTTGGGAGCTGTTTCACGTCCATTTATAGTATGGAAGCAGCACTCTGGGCTGTCCTTATGTACTTTCCAGGGGTGTTCTTGTAGCTGAAGTTGCTTGCACTGGATAGAAAGAGATGGCTGACATTTTATGTGTTGGATTTTGAATGAATTTTTGTGTCTGTTTCTATGAAATAAATGTGCATGCCAAAAATTTATAGTTGCTGTGCAGCATGAGAGTTCTGGAAGCAAAAACTCTTCCTAGAGCAAGAGCCTAGTTATAATTTATTTTTAGTTTTCCTTGTTGTCTTCTCTGTAAAACGCAATTTTAAAACAAAGGGGGGTTTTTAGCGGGTCACTTCTTACTGTGGTTTTTTATCTGCTGCAATTTCCACTCGCAACTCACAATTATGTAAAGCTTACCATGATAGCAGTACATTCATTTGAGATTCATAACACAGATAGTGTCTCTTGGGCTACAGAACTCTGCAGCATCTTTATCACTGCTTCCAGCTGACCTGTCTTACAAAGGGATCGGGAGGTGACAGGTGTGCTATAAAGTGGTGGAAATCCAGTCGCATTCCGAAACAAGCTCTGCTGATTCTTTCATCAAACTCTCACTAATACACTCGTTAATGTGAAGTTATGATCCTTCAGCCTCCAACAGTTGGATTTGCCTTTTCTGACAGTAAAAGTGTTTGTAATTGCCTTTCCATGTAGGTGTGGATGGGCAGTGAGAGAGGCATGTCCTACCCTTTTGTTACTGAGATTAAAAATTTGGGAGGATGGCCCCTATTCTGTCTTAATAATATTTCTGAGAAATTCTATACAACGTACTTCATCTACTAGAAATATGGGGGCTTTTTGTTTTAGTGTTTCCTGTACTCTTTCCAGTAGTGGTTTAATTTTGATTCTGATTAATTGAAATATCCTGAGTTACTTCAGAGTCTTCATTCAATCAGTGAAACAGAGGATGAGGCAATCCTTTTACCTCAATCAATGTTGCATTTAAATATAATGCACTTGTCTAGAAAGTTGTTTTGGCATTCCCTCGGTGCAGCAGACAGCTTGTCAGGCCAGACTTTGAACTCAAAGGAAAATCCACATCTTCATGTCTTCTCTCTTGGTTGGCTTTTGTTTTGGAGAGGATTTAAAAACAAACAAACAAAACAACAATCAACCAAACAAAACATGCAAGCATGCTTTGTTAAGCATCAAAACATTGAGTTTCCTTTTCACAATTGCTGGCAAGCAGTGTACCAATAGAACTGCAAAGCCAGTTTTAGTGTATTTTTGGCAACATAGATTTACTCTTGTGTGTTCTTGCTCTGAGCTGTCTTCCCAGCCTCATAGAGGGTCCACTCTGTTGCTGCTCCTGTCTCTACCACCCAATTCTCTTCTAGCACCCTGAAAATACCAAGCTATCCCCCTTCTCCAAAAAACAGAGGAGAGACCTTGCAGCAGTGAGCAAATGTTTCCCATCTGACACCCCAACAGTCTGTGAAATCAATGGATATCTCCAGAGCGGGCAAGGAAAATGATTATATTGAGATTGTGATTCTATTAGACCAAGCAGATATGGATCAGAATAATGAGATTACACAGTCAGCTTTTTGGGTCTAGTGGAGTAGGAACTAACAATTTCTATGTTTTTAAAATAGAGGGTCCCCACTTTGACTTTCTGATCGTTTCATGTATTTATTTTTGCCCTGTAATGACTGAACCGTTGTGGCTTTCTAAGATACTTTTTCTAGTATTCAAGTACCTTAAATTGTCTGTAATTTCTACTTTGATAGTAATTTGTTCTAGGTGTTAGAGTTCTCTTTTTTTTTCTCTATATTGATTCTTGAATATTCATTCTTTAGAACTGCATATGAATGTTTTTATTAATCTGACCACAATTTTAACTTGTTATACTCAAACAAGTTTACTTTAAGAATGATCGTATTAGAGTGTGGCAGAATAAATGCATTTGGATTAAAATGAAATTAAAAAACCCCACACAAATTAAATTACACTATTTTGAAGTGTGATGGGGTTATTTAGTCCATTTAGTATGGAGGGATCTGGAAATACTAGAAAATTACTGAAATGAACTTATTAACAAAGTCTTTGATTATTAAATCTGTTGTTTTCTTAGGTGTACACAGATCCTGGACCTTTTTTTTAATTGAATAATCTGTATCCTGCTGACCAAGAAACCAATTTTGAGTTCTCCTTTTTTGTTGTGGTGGTTTTTTTATCCTTCCCCATTGGAAGAGCTCAGTAGTGGCTCCCTGTTCACTTCAGTAAGTATTGATTTGAAAATAATAGCTTGCCTAAAATCTCATTGGACTTAGCTATATTTGATCTAGAGTATTTGCTGAAAGAGAAATGATACTGGCAAGGATTTGGATGGTGTGATTTCTTTCCTGAAGGGAGTGGCAGGAGCATCACTTTGAAAACCATAAGAAATGGAGAAAATTGGAAATGAATGGATAAAATAAGGATTAGGATATGTGTTTAAGACACCAGTGAAGACAAGGTTACAAAAGTAACCTTTCTCTGCAACAATGACTGGAACTATGTTTTCTTTCTTTCTTATACATGAAAAATTAAAAATGCAGAAACCAAAATAAGAAACTACTTTGTGTTATAGTGAATGAACTTGCCACTCATGTTAAAAACCCATTCTAACTATCTTGTTTTTACCTGTGCTTTTTTATAGATGTCAGTTTGCTGCTAATGGGTGTAAGTAAATTAGATGTCTTATACAGAAAGCTCCTCCTCACTAAACTTTTCATCAGAGGATGGGGAAAGCCAGAGGATTTGAAAAGGTGACTTGTTAAAAAACAACACAAACACTACTTTATATTAAAAGAAAAAAAAACCCCAAACCTTGAAGTATAAACAGTTGTTACTATCCTGTATTTAAAATACCAAAAATGTTCAAGTTTGTTTTGTTCAGGAAATCATGTGTTTCCATACCGAGGGTGTAACTGGATTTAAAAGAAGTCTTAAAGGGATTTGTTAAATGTTTCTGTTTAAAGAGGCTCTTCTTGAGAGAATGGGTGTCCAATTAAATTTTTCACTTATGCATATATGATGACATACTTCAAACAGCATCTCTGGAAGTGTTTTGTAAAAAACAAAACTTGCTGAATATCTGCAAAGGAATTGTTCTGTTTACCATGAAAGAGGATCTCGCTATCTTTCTGTAACTTCCTAATGAATTTAAAAAGTGTTAGATTTAATCAGAAGTTTCTCTCATAGCCCAAAGTAGTAAACTCTTTCTTTTTAGATGTCTTGAAAGTAAGAAAAAAATGTATGTACCCCTCAATTTTTAAGTATTTCATTATTTTTATTAATTACTATTGAGAGTAACACCTGGAAGTTAAGGACTTATATTCTTAAGTGTAAAAATGAAGTGACGGAATATATATATTCTGCATTGTGCAGTATTTAAATAGGAAGTGATAAATCTACATTTAATAAGCTATTTTTTATGTATTTGAAAATCAATAAAGAAAACTTGAAATAAGATTTTGTGCACTGTGGATAGCAGTGGAGTTATGGGGGAGTTGGTTTTTGCTTTTAAATTCAAGTGAAAGATCTGATCTAGAAATGGCACTTGGTTTGCTTTGTGTATCTGTCTCCAGGTGATTTTTCTCTAAAGTGGCAGCCTTTCCTGCAAAATGAGAATGTTGGCTTTTTTAAAGGTTTAGTTTACTTGTGTTGGAATAACCAAGAAATGTGGGTTTTCTTTTGTTTGCAGCATTTCTGTATTCTATTCTGTGTGTGTAATCAAAATGGGACATTTTAATGTTATCAAACCCTAGGTGTAATCTAAAGATTGATGTGCACACCCTTGATGTGATGAATGTTAAAATCCTCATGCTTTGTTCTCATTCGCAAGAGTTGAAATTCCTCAACACATGCAAGACTGAGCCTTCAATAGCCTCCTAACTACAGAAAAAAAACCCATAAATGCAATATTTTTAGAGGGTTTAGTGTCAAACAAAACATCTCTTCATTTAGCTTGCCCTCCACACTCGAAGTCTCATACCTTTATCCTTATTTTCTCAGAAATATTTAATGCACTTGCTATTCTGTATAAGAAAAGCAAAGGTTATATAGTAGAGCTGTTTTTGATGTGGTGGTAAATTGGATTTTCTTTCCATCCTTTTGGTTTTTTTCTGGTGTTGGCAAGGTGAACAGGTCGTTCCTCTTACACTGTTAGTCTGTACTTTTCACCCAAAACTGTTCCCTTTGATCAGGTAGCCTGTATTTACCACCATGAGAATGAGCGAGTTATTCTTGGCGTAGAGTATTTAGGGTTGAGAGGGCCAGTTTGTGGACATCTAGTCAAAATCTCTGTTTAAGACAAAGCTGAATTTTGTTTCTTCAAGTCAATTGTCACGTCATTCATTTGAGTTTTAGAAGTCCCTTGAGGATGAAGATTATTTATAGTTTCTCTGGGCTATCTTCTCATATGCTCAACTATGAAAAAAATCTTTCACTGTGCTCCCGTAGGAATTTGTTACATTGCAACACTCAGCTACTGCTTCTTATCCTCTCACTGTACACCTCTGAAAAGAGTTTTGTTTCGTTTTGTTCTGTGTGGCTCTGCAGCCCATTTAAATAGCAGAAGAAAGCAACTAGATTTGCCCCTTAACCTTCTGTTTCCCACCAAGGTACCTGAGCCTATTTGCTTTAATTTAAAAGCATCCTTACATTCCTACCCTATGGGAGCCTGATTATTATGGAAAGCTGGCTTCATAACTTACTTTTTTTGTGGCTTACTTTAGCTCCTGACATTTGATATAAATACGTCTTCTCTTTTTTTTTAGATTAAAAGCTGAATTTTCTCTACTTGTTTCCTTTCAACAGAATATTTGAATTCAGAAAGATTATTGGAAACAGGGAAACATGCCAGACTCTGGTTTCAAAAGATTATCCAGTGTTTATTGACAAGGTACTTAAAAGCAAGATATGATAAAATGTAACTAAATTTGTTTTCCTGCTGGTGTATAAAGGTGAAATAACTTGATACTTAACAGGCTACTTTTATAGGCTACTAGCAGAGGATGGAAGGAAACTGAGAGACCATGTCTGTACAGATACTGTTTTATTTTTTTTCCCAGTAGTACAATAGTTGGGGAGTGGGATGTCAAATATTAAAATTCAAAAAATGTTCAAAACTTAGTATATGTTTAAAATGGGACACCATTACACTTTTCCTTGATTCCCTTAAATAGTCATTTAAAAAAAGCAAATTTGGAAAGAAATCTTTTGACTGTGTTGATAACATGTATCCCTGTATTTGAGGACTAGACCTCATCTTTGGGTTTATTTACATAAGTTAATTCTTCTACTTTAAGAGATTTGATTTCAGAGCAAGTTAAACACTGGTATGATATATATTGCTATCATCCCATTCTGTCTGTAGGTTGAGGGGCAATCTGACTGTAAAATCCTTGAGGGGCACTTCATTTCCCCCTTGGCACATTGTGTCCCAGGTATCCTGCCAGTCGAATCTCTTGTAGCAAGGTAAGAGAAACAATGAGGTATTTCCTATCTGAAATTAGTGCTGCAGAGAAGTGAGAATGGTCTATAGGTAGTTTTATTTACAGACTAATTTATTTATGGACTAATTTAAATTATAAGCTAATTTATTGCAATGCAAATTATCCATAAAATATTTCAAAAAGGGTTTTTTTGTACTAATGTGTTAGATTTTGATTTCAAAAGTGAAAATAGATCTTATTCATGTGATAGCTTAATCTGTATTTAAAAAAAAATCCATTAGCAAAGTATAACTCTTTTGGGTGGGTTTTTTTTGAGTGTAGAAATTATATTGCACAAAGCTGTGTAATACCCTTGTTTTTTTGAAATTGTTTGTTTTTTTTCCCAAATGAGTGAGATGCTGGAAATGAGGGACAGTAGCTGTTTTGTATGTAGCAGAAGAGGCTTTTTCTGTGAAAGCATGTTATATTGTATTTGAAGGAACCATTCCAGCTTTCCATTTACATTGAATACAAAAATATTGTATGTGTGCTGAAGTAGCAAGTTCATTTAATTGTAGCGAGAGAATCTGATGCCTTTCTTACTTGGCAGGCCAAAAAAAAGCCTTCTCACAGAAAGCTGGGTGATCCCTAACAGTGATGGTTTCACACTAGCACTGCTTTGCAGTTAGGGACTGGGTTTGGAAAGGGAGCCTGATTTCTGTTTGCATTAAGTTTTTAGCTAAACTGTCATGATGGATTTTTTTTCCCAAGCTTTGTTTGTTTGCTAACTTAAAAATTAAATGTAAAAGTTTGTCAGCTGAAGTTGATACTGGCATTGTAAATTTTGTCAGTAATACTGGCTGGTGTTTTTGTGCGCTTAAGCATGTGACACTAAGGAATGTGAGAAGAAGTTTTATAGTCAAGATACCAGTTCTATTCCACCTCTCCATTGGTCAGAGAAAGAAACTGTCTCTTAACATTATTGAACTAATTACTACCATACTGGAAAATACAATATGCTGGTTGTTTCCTTATCTGTGTTCTCTCGTATCTTGTAGCCAAGTTATGCCAACTGTTACTTTGGTCACTGTTGTGTCAGTTTTGAAATGCTGTACAAATTTCCCTTCAGATGGTTGTGGATTGTATGAATGTTCTTTCCTAAGTGTAACACTGTTGTAGGTAACAGTGCTCCATCTTGTGGGGAAAATACTGGTGCCTCAGAAGTGATTTTTTTTCCAATAGTTAGACTGTAAATAACTTAAGTAGCAGCTGAAGACGTTAGGTGATGATGTTGGGGGTATAGAATAGCTTTATGGTTTGTATGTTGGGGTTTTGATTTTTTTTTTTTTAATGTATTGCTCATCTTAATCTTCAATTTCAGCTGTTGTGCCTTCAGGAGAAAAATAGCAATGCTGCCTAGGAGAGCTGGACATGCTTATTTAGGCTGCTCTTTATCTGAAGTTCCATTTCTCCACTCTGCAAAATTTAAATTGTGATGATGAGGTAGTAGTCTTTTTTAGGAACATGATCTTTCATCTTGGCTCCTTTTCTTGTTTGGCCTTCCTTCTGTCCTACTTTCAGATTCCTTTGTTTGCTGAATGTGTTGATGAAAAATGATGTTGCTGAATTGCTGGCAGTTTGCCTGCATGCATTACAAGTACTTTATTATGTCTTTTGGGATTTTTTTTAGATTAATTTCTCTTGGTGCAGCTTGTAAATAGATGTACTTACTCTACTAAAATAGATGTTTCTCACAGATTTCAGTTCATCATACCCAGAAGATGGAACAGCAAGCACAGACCTGTGTGCATTCATTTAGCGGGCACTGGAGATCATGTGAGTGTGTAAAATGTAAAATTGATTATTACTGAGAAATTAAATAATCACATTTTGTCTTATATATATTATTTGTACATCTTTAGCACTTCTGGAGGAGACGGACACTAATGGCAAGGCCAATGATTAAAGAAGCCTGTATGGCTTCCCTGTTGCTAGAAAACCCTTATTATATCCTTTTGTGGAAAACACAATAGTTATTATTAATGTTCTGTCCAGAAGGTAAAAGACTTATCCCGCTGGCAAAATATGTACTTTTTGGACCTATTTCCAGTGGACTTTTCAGTGCATAGAAGCAAAGAAAGTACGGCCACTGCATGAAACACAACGTGGAATGCAGTTAACATAATGAGCTACCTTTACACCAAGTATGGCTTTTCTGATTTTTTAAAAAATGTCTTATGCAGCTTCTTCCTGTATTCATTAAAGTTGTGATCTGAATAATGTGAATCTTTTAGCAGTGACTGACTGAGAATTATGCATTCATTCCATGCCATACTTTAGATGTAGTATGGATCTATTAACGACAGAAAAGAAAGTTGTCTCTCCTGCCTTCCATTCTCAAATGCAATTCTTCAGTACCTCAGGTACTTTTGAGAAACTTACTACTGGCACTTAAAATTTGAGTTTTTTTTGAAAAACAGTTAAGTTTTGTCCTATCATCTTCTATAACAGTGTTACTCTGTTTTATTAAATTTCTGGTCACACTTTTTTTTACCCATATGCCTGACAATGGTAAAATGTTGCAAACTACATCATTAAACTACATTGAACTTGATTAAGTGCCAGTTAAACACTGGGAATGTAAATTCCAAATTTCAGTTAATCCATGCTATTTATGTATGTGATTTATTTTATTTGATTTTTTTGTTTTGTTCTAATGACCAGTTTTTATATAGTCTTTTTTACTTTCTTTAACTGGAGTCTTTTACATGGCTGTAGAAAACCTAAGGATCAAATGTAAGTATTACTTTTACATTTTTGGATACTGTCTTTTTGAAATAATGCTTTTTATTTTCTCTCAAGGAGCTGAAAGTTGTCTAAACTTTGATAGCTTATTAAGAAAAAAAAGTCCAAAGAATGGACCACTTGTAACCTGCTAATGTGAAATTGTCTGCTCTTTGCTAAACTACTTTGTTTTTTTGTGTTAGGAGATCACAGGCATCAAGAAAGTTTGCACGAGATGAACTTGCAGTATAGAGTGAGATGCAGACACGTTCTGTGAATAAAAGCAAGTGCCACTTTATTTTCCTGATTCACAGCTGCACATGTACAAATGCTGCAGTTATATTTCAGTCAACTATGAATAATTTTTGGTCAGCTAGTGTATTTCCCTGTTATTTTTATATGTATATATTGCTAATATTTTGCTTTTTCAAGATATTTTAAGAGTGTACTTAAATTTTAAGAATTATTTTAAAAACAAATATGGTGTTGGTTGGTTTTCAGGCAGTGGAAGCCATGCAATATTGAGTATTTTACAGGATTTGTTCCCTCAGTCAGTTTCTTAAATGTGAATTTAGAAGCCTAATTAGGTGGTCCTGGTTTTTTTGCTTTTCACATTGTCCAAGCCACAGAAGTATTAACAGAATTCAACAGAATGTGTGTCTGGGGCAAAGCTGTGGTTTTAGTCTCCCAATATTTCTTAAGGTCCAAATATGAGTCGGTGTTTTAATCCTTTTTAATCCTAACTTTGACATTTAACCTGAGTAGAAGACACAGAGAAGGTGATTTATGAAGGATTATAGCAAAGTGACAGGAGAGAGTGTGTGCTGGAATACATCCATTGGTAGGTTTATTTCCAGTTATTGTTGGTCCGATGCAGAAGAATAAATTTAGTAACTCTGTTCTCAGTTGTCTAACATGTCATCTTAGTAGTTGTATGATGCAGAGAAAGATCTTTTCCAAGGGGGGTGCGCAGTCGAATACCCCAACAGGTAACTGTCACTCTTCAACACAGGGTTACACAGCAGCAGTGGTTTTAGTTAATACTCTGGTAACAGTGTTTAATAAATACAGCAGCTGGAGAGGGCTCAGGAATCTCATAACAAAGCTGTAGGAAAGAATTCCATTAGCCTGTAAATGCTGGTCTGCAGCAGCTATGTTCATTTCTGTGTGACTTCACAACAAGCTTTGTCCTTGTGCTTCAGAGTGTTGCAAATGCGATGGTGGCATGCTGGCAGGAGAGGCCTGGAGCCCTTTGTAACCTGGCTGTGATACACAGTCCCCCTCCCCAAATTAGAGGTCTTTTATTTTTAATCCCTCTGATGGTTCAGCTGAATAGCTTCCTTCTTTTTTTGTGTGTCTTCTGTGTTTTAATGCTTTGCAGTACACTACCTGAATTTCTCAGTACCGTGACAAAATTCCCACTTTACAGTTTCAGTCTTAAAGTGACACTGATGAGCACTTCCAGAGCTGACATACTGATTGCTCTTCAGTGTTGTGTACAATTTTTCAATGATGTAAATAAGGTAAATAAGAAAAAAAAAAAAGATGGTGTATGTCTAGGAGTATATGTCTAGGACTGTATCACTTTGATTCTATTTCAAAAATATCTGTTATAACTTCACAGGACAGAATATTATTATTAAGGAGAAGCTAATGTTGATAATGTCTGTTTCCAAAAGACCAGGCTGTCAGTGATATTACATTAGAAACTTAGCAGTTGCCTGTTTCTAGTCTGCATTTGGATGAAAAATTGCACGTGCCAGAGAATCTGGGCTTGCTTTTTCACCTGTTGAATCAACAGAAGTTCAGCTCCAAAATTCTCTGGGATTGTGATTAAGCTTTGTACAAAAGTATGTATAGAATGACGAGAACTGTCAGAGTCTAATCTTGGAAAATAAATACTGTATTTTCCTTTTCTGGGGAGAAAAGACGGTCATGTTTAAAAAATGTCTCGGACCTGTTTGTGATGGGAGGAGCTCTAATTCTAGAATCGGCAGCTCTTTTGCACTGGCTAGAGAGAGAAGGCTATGGACCGCTAGGGATGACTGGAATATCCATGGGAGGACATGTAAGCTTTTATATCTCTTGTTCAGTAATTTTTGTTTTAACTTCTCATTTGATCGTGTAGCATTCAGAAATAATTTGTTTTACAGTGTTGATCTCAGAAGTACTTTAAAATAAACATTTAGAGTCATGAGAAACAAATTGTTGGCAATTCTCATGTTCTGTGGTGCTGAATTAGTATAATCCTTAATAAGTACTGACAAATCATGGAGCCATCTCCTGGCAGGCTTAATAAGAATATAAACTTCTCACATAGTTGTTTTTTTTCCACAAGGGGGGGCAGAAATGTTATCTGAAAGAAAGTCTGCACTGATCGATTGCTGATTCTCTCTCTTTTTCTCCATTCTTCTTGCTTAAATCTTTGTGTTGTAATGCACTGTATGAAATGCCCCCTCTTTGTAGGCATGTTGTGACTGAGGTGACTTTTGGTGTCAGTTCTGTTCTCGACTGATCTCTTTTTTTCCCCTAATCATTGGTATTGATCAGACATTTCTGTGATGAGGTGGATAATGTTTTCTGTATGACACTGTGCATATTCAGACTAAACCAGCAGTGATGCTTGAAAGACTAATACACAAAATAATACTGCTTGTGTCTCCACAGATTATGATGGGTCTGTAAGACAGAGGTGCAAAGCTTATTAAAACAACATACCTTTGTTTGTCTGTTGTTAGGACCTAAGTAAATAATGTTGGTAATGGTAGTGTTTACTGAAAGGGAAATATTTTCCCCTAAAGCACAACTTTATAACTCTTAAATGTCCATAAATGTACAAAGCACCTTTGATTTACATAAATGTCACCCTGCTGAATCAACAACTTTTGTATTATTCCTTCCTTGGCTTATTTGTAAGCTGTATTGGCCTTCTCAGACTGGTATATGGAGCACTAACCATGCACGACAGTTCAAATGCTGTGGTAACAACCAAATTCTATATCCTGTACTAATGGTTATATCCAGCATGGGTATAGAAGGAGGCAAGATCTGAGAAAAGTGGGTTTGGAAACTCCTTTGAAATTTTTTTTCTTAGTCCAGGAAGATACGTTTTTGGTTAGTCCTGACTTACTTACAGGACTTCTGGTACAATTTAAACCAGTGAAATAAGTGAAATTTGATATTGATCCTCTATAGAATGTGTTTTACAAGGGAAGGTAGGTAGCATTGATTCAGTTCTTCTGTTGGGGAGAGCTGGAACAAAAAGAAAAGAAGTCAGACTTTCTGGCTATTAGAACATATAGATATGTGGTGTTCTTGTAACTTTTATTAATAAAAAATAATTATAGTAGAATTATAGTTCAGTTGTATAAATCCATTTATTAGAATATCTGATACAGAGATGGGGTGTTTTGTATTAAGGGGTTCTGTTTAGAGCAATAATAAAATAAAACTTGTCAAGGACATACCATATAGGGAACTTCTGTACATTGAACTTATTTGCTCTGTTTTTTTCTGGGATAAACAGAATATTAACAAAAATATGTTCTGAGAACTGATGTAAAAGTAATAATTTAAACTTAATGGACAGAAAAAGAGTTCACTTAACGACTTAACATGCTGAATTACTTCTCCTTCATATTTTGTTTCCAGTATGCAAATTTCAAAAGTATAGAATTTTAAATAGCCCTTCTCATAGATTGACTTTATTATGCCTTGAAGTAAACTTGCAAGAGCTTGATAAAAAGCTTTATAGATGTTTTTATAGCTTTAAACAACTAATATCTAGTATTAATTTTTATCATTATTATGATAATTAATGTAATTACTATTATAATTATAATTATAATTAATGGGGTTATAATTATAATTAATGGAGTATTTAGTTAATATTCCATTGGGAATTCTTACAAAAAAAAACCCTTCAGCTTGAAATGAATCCTATCCAGAGCAATGCTTATTAGAAAAATCACTGAAGAATAAATTGTAACTTCTAAATAGGTGAAAATATATCCAACTGCCACAGTCCTTAACTGCTTTGGCACTGTGTATTTGATAGATACTATATAAACAAAGAAACTGAGGATGAGAGAGTTCTTTCTAGCATATTGTGAATTCAATGTTAAAATGTGTAACAAGTGCCTTTGATTCTAGATGGCTTCACTGGCAGTGACAAACTGGCCTAAACCATTGCCATTGATTCCGTGTCTTTCCTGGTCAACAGCTTCTGCAGTCTTTACTACGGTAATTAACATCTATTTTTATTAATGTTATTGCACGGTAATCAGAAACGTAAGTTAAAAGGTTTGGGTTGGCCGCAGGGGAAGTGAGTTTCCATGCCCTGTGTTATAATGTGTGCTTATGCTTTGATTGCAATAATTTTAAGTGCTGTCTGGGAACTTGAGTAGAATTCCACTGGGAAAATAAGTCACAAGGGGAACAGATGAATTTTTTCTGTGTATCATTATTTTAGAGTGATCTCTGGGTTTTACTTGTGTGCTTGATGCTTTTGCTTATTATCTCAGGGTGTGTTGAGCAAGGCAGTGAACTGGAGAGAGCTCGAGAAACAGTATTTTACAGAAACTGTTTATGAAGAAGAAATAATTCAAATGCTTGAATACTGTGGAGTAAGTATAGTTTATTTTCCTGATTTGCTAATATTTACATGTGCAAATCTAACAAATAATGTAACTTCTTTTTACTTGCACTAAAAGTGGACAATTGTTAGCTAAAACATACCTGCATGTTGTTTCTTTATGCTTTCGATAAATTTAATCTTTGAAGGAAAACCTGAAAAATAAAGCTAATATTTTGGTTGTTTAGTGAGTGTTAAGTGTAGCCCTTGCTACAAGTTTTTCCCGTGACCACACTTAGTGTAATCTGTGACATAAAATGTGTTCAATTGAAATTCTAATAATAACTTTTTTTTCCTAAGATTCTTTGCTTTGTGACAGTTCTCTTTCAAATATCTTACAACAGGAGAAGAGGAGCTGGGGTGGAGATAGTTACTTGGGCACTTACCATTTTTAAGTCAAATACACTCCAGAACACTGATGGAGAAGACAAAATGAAAAGAAGAAACATTTCAAGATGTTTATAACTCTTGTGTCTCCCTAGTATTTAGAGACAGTTGATTTTTCAGGCCTAAACCTAACATTAGACCTGGTCACATATATTTATTTTCTTATCATTTTGTCATGTAAGCCTAAATTGTGGTAATTACAAATTCAGTTTAATACAAAATGAAAAGCAAATTTGTTTGTATCATAAGCTACCATATATATAAGTAATTCCTGCATTTTTTAAGATGATAGAAATGTAGAATGAAATTATCAAGAGGTTATGGTGGTCAGGATTTAACTGAGTGACTTGCAAACTGGAAATAACAACTACTATAATCAGTGCTTTTTATATCTTCTTAATTTTTTTAATAATGAGTTCATCTTAAAAGTAAGATTAACCAACTAGTTTAAGGGAGTAACCCTTAATAAATGACCTTTTGTCTTTGTTCAGACAGATTCTTTCAAGATGGGACAAGATTTTGTTAAAAACTTCCCTGACAGTGTGCACAGTCTGGAGGATATGGATGTTACCTCCAGGATATTCAACCTTGAGCCCATGAGCACTACTGTATCTAAAGAAGCTGTTCACAGCTTTGCCACAAATAAAAGTACTCTAAGTGCCTCTTCAGAAAGACTCTTAATACAAGATGCTCCTAAAATGCAGTGCATAAATCAAACATTTTCGACCAGTAGCAGTAGCAATAAAAACTTAACCAGCCCACAAGGACGCAGGATAAATACAAGAAGAAAGAGTGACACTTTACAGAGAGAATCCATAAGGTTCATGAAAGGAGTAATGGATGAATGTACCCATGTAGCTAACTTCTCAGGTATGTATCTATTTCTTTCAATGTGCGTTTTGGAAAATTGAGTAAAATACAGCGGAAGAGAGGTATTTTCATAATTCTCCATGTGTAAACCTGTGCTGGCCCCTTAGCTGAAATATGGAAATATTGTGAGCATTGTTCAGTAATGTCTGTTTACCACTCCATTTCGTAATTGTTTTTCTGTTCCTTCTTGATGGCCAACTAATGGCACAGTGAATTAAAAATTTGCTTTTCAGTATCTTTGCTCATTTCTCCTCTGCCTTGCTGTGCTCTCCTCAGATATGAGTTAGTGCAAATTTGTATTATCTAAAAGAACAAAACACCTGTGCAATGTGAGTGATACCTAGAACTAATCTGCTAATAAGGTCTTTCAAGTCAGTTCCATAAGGCAGAAATCTTATATCGACTTCAGATAGAAAGTAGCCTAGCTGAGAACGAAGCTTGAATGACACTGCTAGACAAGTGTGACCAGTACAAACACGCAGAGGTCCTTCTGTGATAGTGCAGCCTGGAGAATATAGTTTCCCAGGACAGGCATAGCATATAGAGGGAGCTGTAACCCAGCCTTCCTTGGCGTTTAGGACAAATCCTTTACACTGCCTGCTTGCAGCAATGCAAAAAAGTGCTTGCTTTCTAGAGCTGCCTGAAAGGGTTCTCCTGGAGTGGAGGTTTGGAATTGCTTTTGTGGCAGTCCATTCAGACAAAATGGTTCAGCTGTGCATGTACCTGCTTTGACTTTTGGTATTTAGTAATCCACTGGTAAATATTAAAATAAAATAAAATCTGAAGACCTCTACACTAGAGTAGATTTCTTGACTTGGATCACTGCTTGCCAGAGATGTTTTATGACAAATACTGGTGCAGTGCTTCCCTGAAAGCTTTCAAAGTTATGTCAGTAGACAGAAAAAGCCCTTTAAGCTTTATTCTAAGTACTCACATTCTTGTTTATCTAGACTTATCCAGGTATCACTTGGCTAAAGCACTGACCTTTCTTGAAACTTAAGAGGATCTGTGATCCTAATGCACTAGTCAGTGATGTGCTCCTTCCTGTCAGTGGTCTCTCAGGTGTCAGTCACGCTCTAGGAGACGTTGCATCCCCTGCCAGGGTATCCTTGAAATGTGGCTAGAGAGGAGCTTCAGAAAATCTGCCTAACATTCAGATTTCATGGCAAGTGGAATGAAAGACTAGAATCTATCTTAGCATTGAGTGTTGTCTATACATGATGAAAGAAGGAAGGGTCTAAGTGATTTGTGACACCCCATTGCCAAACGTCTTGTTTGGTCACTCTTTAACATACCGCGTATAGTTTTTTCTTGAAGAGAGGAATGTTCTATGTTCAACATCATTTTGCTGTCATTTTTCTGAACATCATTTTGATGTTGTTCCTGTTAATAATCTGATTGGTGCCATTCTGGTTATGAATAGTAAATATATATAACAGTATGTTGGGATTTTTATGTTGCAGCTAAACCATGTAGGAAACAGAAAAGAAAGTGAACATATGCTGCACTTTGTCTGACATTGTATTAAAAGTCTTTTTTCCTCTCCTCAAGGAAAAAAGTTTACATAAAGCTCTGTTGAATTTCATAGTTCTTTTTGCTGAAAAAAAGAGATCTCAAAGAACTGATGTGGATGCTATAGAGTTTTGTTGATAAGAGGAAAGACAATTCTCCTATCATTCCTCAAACACTTGTGAAGTTTTCTGCTTTAGGGGAGGGAAGGGATAGGATGTTTGTTTTTCTGCTGATAGCCTCACTACCGTAACATCAAAAACCAGATAAATTCTATTAAAGCTTAGAATAATTTAATTTTTTTTAGAAATAGCATTTTTGCAACAGAAATCTTAGTTGTCGTGTTTCTGTTTCTTATCTTAGATGAATTCAATTTTGATTTGTTTTTTAGTTCCAGTTGACCCAAGTTTAATCATAGTTGTACAAGCCAAGGAGGATGCATACATCCCTCGTACTGGGGTGCGCAGTCTTCAAGAAATCTGGCCGGGGTGTGAAATTAGGTATCTGGATGGAGGTCATGTCAGTGCCTACCTCTTCAAACAAGGACTCTTTAGGTAAAGTGAACAGAAAAGTTTAAAAATAGTCTAGATTTTATTAAAATATAAGCTTGGCTGCAAATGAGTAGTAGTACTTGCATGAATTCTTGCCTTATAATATTAGGTGTTGACTTTCTAAAGACAGTTATATAAATCAGTTATATAAATGCAGTTCTGTTTCTAAATGCAGTTCTGTTTCTAAAAAGTTAAATACTTGTGCTGTTAATTTTAAAATATAAGGAATTAGACTGTACATCCCATTTAGGCAGTCTAAGCAAAAACAGAAAAGAATAGCACTATGTCAAGTCAAGGTGTACTGACCACTAGTTTATTGCTATTTAAAACTTCAGCCTTATTTTATGATAGTTCATCAAAAATTGTAAGTTATGCATGTCTTTGACCCATTTTCTGATGCGTTTGAGTAGAAAACTAATTCATTAACATTTGCACTCGCATTATAGTTGGTAAATAGTCCCACTCATTCCTGAAACATAAATATATTACTGAATTGAAGTGAGAGATCCCAGAAATAAAGGAAGGAGAAAACACTACCTGATATCACATTTTTATTGAATGCTGTTTTGAACTTGTGTGATAGCTTTGTATATACATTTGTGAATATATAAAAATACACCCCTTGTATCTTCCCTTTCCCAAATTATACAAATGATCTTCTTTTTACCTTGTTTCAGACAAGCAATTTACGATGCATTTGACCGGTTTCTTCAGAAATATGCTGTTTGAAAAATCTTCATAATGCATTCAAACTGATCTCATTTGTAATTCAGTGTACTGGAACTCGTATTTGGAAAATAAGCTGTTTGCAACATTGAATAGCCACTGACTTTGGCTGTTGTAGGTAACAATAACCAGAAATGGTGAAGTACCAGCGTTACTTTCATTTCAACCCAGTGCCATTCTGACACAGCTGCTTCAGCATCACCTGTGAAAAATCAATGGCAGCGTTTGTCAGCGTTCATGTACTTTGTGTCTAATCAGGTTGTGTATTCCTTGAACTCTGAATCAATTCTGAATTGTGTGTCAGTGGAAAATAGACCAATCCAAGTTTTGAAGGAATGTAAAATGTGCTGTACAGCTAAGCTGCTCTCTTGTGTTTACTGTGTTTCTGGTTTGTTCCATATGCCTTGGTTTCCTCTTGCTTCCTTGTGCCCTTGCTACTCCCATTGTATTGTACTACAGCTTTGCCAGTGCTCAGCCTCGTGTGTTTGTCACTGGTTTTCTCTTCAATTATGAATTGAAAATGAGCTGTAATAGGAGGGGCAGCATCTAATCTTGCAAAAAGAGACTGTGACAATTCGATGAAAAGTGAGAGAGAGATGTTTTCATTCAATACATCCTTGAAGTTTTTCTGCCACTGAAATAACCGTGCCGTTCCAGAAGGATCATGTAGCAATTCATCAATCAGGTTCACAAAACTGGAATAAGTGAAAATCAAGTGTCTGGTTATTAATTCTTTACATTAATTCAGTTGGATAACAAAAATGTCTAGATTTTTTTTTAAAGAATGGTAGAAGAGATAGAGATTTCATCATTTACAGTGGCTGCTTTTAGGCAGTTAAATCAATAGCAGATTATATGGTGCTATGAAGACCTGCTGGAAATATTTCAACAGAAGTCCTTCTTAAAGTACACTCAGTGCTGATATGCAAAATACACTTTCATTGTATAATTTTAAAAATACGTGAGACTAAATGTTTTTAAAACAGTTAGGTTTGCTCCTTATTTTTCATCACTTGGTTTTTTTTAAATCAATGGAAAATAAAGAAATTCGGATCTTGAACACACTTAAGAATAAAGCCTCTTTTGGGATCAAAAATGCCAACAAAATACACTATCGTATAAGGTTGTCATGTAGTGACCGTATGTGGTATCTCTCCATGTCTTTTTTTGTGGTAATCTCCTGCAACATTCTCTTAAAGCCAATTCACAGAGAGGTTGAAAACTGGAACACTTCAATATTAATTTTAGTACAGTCATGACCAGGGTTACACTGAAACAAATTGAAAAACCCGACCATTTCTCAGGATGTTCAACTTCTGCACCTTTCCAATCAAGCACTTTTGATCTCCATGGTTAGTGTGAAGATTTTTAGTAGGCAGAGTATGGAGCAAACAAAGCTCGGTTTATGTATTTTCTTGAATTTTACTCTGACAGGACTAATAACTGTGAAGAAGTCATGGTTCACTTGAAAATCAGGTATGTTTAGGTAAAACTGAAGAGCAACAATTCATAATAACCCAAATTATTTAAGATACAAATTTGCTGAAAATGCAAAAGAAGTTCTGCTCTTTTGGAAGTGAAATTGCTTCTCTCAAGGGGTTTTTCATAATTTCTTTGGACAGCATTGGCTTTGTATATATTAGGAGCAAGCGTGAAGTGACTAACGTTTAAATACAGTAAACACCAAATATTGGAGGGTTTGAATTCAAATATAAGTTTACAAATTTAAAATTGACAGCTTGAATACTGTACTAAGAGATTTACAAGGTTTACAGTTTACAGGCTCATTCATCAACTAAGAGTGCTTTACAAGACTACTCTGCTGTTCAGCAACTTTTGTAGCTCTCACATTTTAAATGTAATTGTGTGCTTTTTGTCCTGTTTCTGTTGCAGCTATGAGAAAGGGAGATATGTGGTGGCAAGGGAAAGGGCTTGAATAAATGCAAGAGAGAAAAGACAGATTTTGTAAAGGCCAGGAGTAAGCACAAAAAAAAATCAACTACGCTACAAAGTATAACATGGCAAAGTAAATATTTTCAAAGCGCACAATACTGGGAATTACACAACTGATGGGAACTTGACATCCTGAGGTTAGTGTTCCAATGGTATTAGTAACAAGGTTTAACTTATCCAAAGGTCATTCTATTCACAGATGAAGATTTAGGCCAGTGCCACTCCTGGTTGTGAGTGTGTCTTTTGGGACAACTAGTGAAAGACTGGTTTCTGACAAGAATGAGAAATCACACTTTGCTCTGTAGCTAAAGTCGTGTTGCCAAATATGTAAGCATTATTTAAGAAACTTCTCAGGTTAGAGTAACAAAAAGGAAAAACGAGCTCTGTGATCTGTTTCTGCCAGTTATCAGACACAGGGAGCTATTAGGTGGTCTGTGAAGGGGGGAATCTTGCTGTGTACATGTGTTTAACCTTTGGAAAATTGACTTTTTAAACCAGATTTTAAGGTTAAAGCCTAAGAAAGTATAAATAATCCATTTTGATGTTAAAAGAGAATGTGATTTTAATCCAGTAATTGCATGAGAGAAATACTGGAATAAGATTCCTGCACTAAATCCATGTAGCAGGTAAGCCATTCTGTATGTCTTAAACTTATTGTAAAGCTGGCCTTGGTGATTTTTTGGTTTTAAAGTTTTTCAATAAAAGTCCTAAAAAACAGTTACATGTGAAGGGTTTTTTTTCTTTCTTGTTAACAGGTGTTCAAAGTGCATCTTGCTGTCATCCTGTAATCCTTTTTATTCCTACTAGAGCTGTAGCACAAGGAGAGCAGTTAATCTACAGGACGTGATAAAAGCTTCCCATAACAAACACTGGTACTGCTTTGATGTTTTTCTACGTGCAGTTCCTAGTAAAGAAAATAAGCTTGTATCAGCTAATTAAGATACCGTTGTGATTCCAATTTTATACTTGCCAGTGCCTTCATTGTGCTCGAATTTCCCAGACTAATTTAAAACCCTTTCTACTTTTAAAAGTGTCCAAAATACATACAACTTTTGGCTGCTGTGTTCCAAGCAAGGGTACCATACTAAACTTGGAGTGGGTAGTTTGCTTTGTCTGCATTAGAAAGGACAGGCTTAGGGCAGAGCAAGAGGTTGAATCTGGTGTGTTATCCATGAGTAACCCAGGTACACTTGTTTGGTGTTTTTGTTTCTCTTCTGGCACCTGATCATGTTCTGGAACAGAACATATCTAATAATTATCAAATGGAGCTTCTTGTACTTTCTTTCCCCAAATCAAAAAAAAAAAACCAAGCAAAAAAACAACCAACTCAAAAGGGACTGCTCAGGAATTTTTTTTAGCAAGGATAGATCACTTGTGTTTTATTACTCTAGAAAGTCTGCAGAGAGGTAACATTATATGACAGAACGGAGTTCTGTTGCTTTTCCTTATGGGAATGTCATATGCATGTATAGATATACTCTCTAAAGAGTAGAAAAGTGAAAATCCTTGGACACTCTGAATACTATTTTGTCTTGGTAGTTGCTAACGCTTTGAGGCAGCTATTTTTAAAATTTATTTATTTATCTTAATTGTTTCTGTCCTTTTTTTTTTAATGTTGATCTTAATTACGCTTGGTTGGGCAGGGAATTTTATTTATCTTAAACTGTCAGGTTCTCTGTCAGCTTGGCTGTAATGATAAGTTATACAGTATGGAAAGGAGGTTCTGTATGGTCTGTACGCATGTAATTCCTTGTGAAGAACTGTTACACGAGTAAAATGCTGCTATTGTATGGAATGCTGTAATTTGCATTGTTTCCTGGTACACTTGGATACTTCCACACAAGATAAAACATAAGCGTTAAAATGTGAAGTGTGTCATTAGAGATTGTTATTCTCTTGTGGTGTAAATTAGCCCCTTTTCCAAATATGAGTATTTTAAGTACTGTGCTCATAAAGGAAAAAGTTTTGCCAAAGAAGTTTGACTTACACTGCTAGAAGGTAACAAGAGTGATGCTACACAGTGGACAAAGTGTTAAGGATGAGTCTTAGCAACTGTAAAAGCTTTTTATATCCTCTTCAGGCTTAGTCCATCCCATAAAGGTTACAGTAAGACATGTCCTACCCCAGAGTTAGCAAAACAAGGATGGACAAAGGCTCAAGTGCCATGTTACTGCTCACCTTTAGTGCTTTTTTGCCCCCATATAATTACCCCTTAATCAGTTTTCTTTTTTCCTGCTCTGTTCAAGTTCCTGCACTGCAGTATTGCAGTGTTCCCAAAGTCCCAACTGGCCTGCTCATCTGCTTCCTTATTTTCTAACACTATGGGAAAAAAAGGAAACAGGAGGTTACTCCCCTTCTTACCAGTCACTTAGGTAGAGCCTCTGTACTTTGATATCACTCTAACCTCTGCTTAACTTCTGAGTTTGGGAAACCAAATAAAAGATACAGAAATTGTTTTCAACAGGTAGTGTGACTGATACTCCTGTTGTCAGGACTGTATGCAATTGGCATGTCCCTGATTAGTAAACTTATGGCATCTGAAAAAAAGCAAGTTCTTACTGTCAAAGAAAAATGCTTCTAAGGATTTGAAGATTTGCTGTAATTTTAATCATTCTACCTGTAATTTTAGTCATTCTACTTTTTTTCTTCTTTACTGACATAAATTTAAAAAGAATACATGTGTCACTTTCTGTACAATAAGTGCTTAGAAGCACTAGTGATTTTTTTCTCTATTTATGAGAAGAGAAATTCCTCTAATGTTTGGAGCTTAAATCTGCAATTACAGAAATTTGATACTTTCCTCTACGTGGTTTGCTCCTTGTAGCATAACAATTGTAGTAGATGTTTTAATTTCAAGCCTTTACCACAAAAGGTCATTAATTTTCAAATATCTTGAACAAAGCAGCAAGCACCTGTTTTTTTTTTGTTTTTGAGGTAGGCCTGGCCTTCTGTCAGGTGATCTGATCTGCTACTGTACCCACAGTTACCAAATAATCCTAAAAACTGTGTCAGCTATGATGGGCATTTGTTGAGTTTTTGGTGGGCTTGTTGTTTATTTTTCTGATGAAGGGGTAAAACTGCACATAATCTCGTTAGAGCAATGAATAATATTACTCCAAACAGAACATATTTTGCTGCTACAAAAACCAGGAAACTCAGCTACTTGTGACACTACTTCAAAATGTTTGCCTCGCTTTTTAAAAGCCTGTTTGAGAATTTGCTTAGTTCATTGAAGAAGTGTTGGCTCCTTTTTGGTTTTTTTGAAAGCCCTTTTGTAAGAAAGGGATTAAACCAAGAGACTGAATGAAAGAAATGGGAGAGGAACGGGTGTCTTAAGGTGTAATCAAGGAGAACTGTGGGAGCACTGGGAGCTGGCAAAGAGGGAAAGGGGTGATTAGGTGTCATGCTGCAGTGGCTTTCCTCATCCTCTGATCACTGTGCTTCTGGGATAATGCAGCGGCGGAAGTGTGGGAATGACCTCCAAACAAATCCAGCAAGCATGGTATGAGTACACATGCTACTATGAGATAATTTCTGGGAGACTTTTGGCAGAAAGTAGAAGGGTAGAAGAGAGATGGTGTGATGGTGAAGGTACCTGTCTGGTGGAATGTTTAAATAATGTGAGATTCCCTTGCTGCTGGGACTCCAGTATGTTCTCACGTGCCTTTGAACATGTTCTGTAGGCTGTGCCACTCGAAGTGCTGAACCAGAGAAGTCCCCTTCGCATCAACGAAATGTGTTCATCCTCCTGGTGCATATGGAGACCCTCGTCGCGTTGTACAGGTACGGGCCAGGCCTAGCGAACCGAAATGTCCCAAAGGCCCTGGAAAACCGCCCGGCCCATGAGCTCACAGCACACAGGAGAGCCCCGGGTCCCTCCCCCGGGCGGGCGGGGCCGGCGCGGCCGAGGCGGCGCGGCCGGAGTGCCGCCCGTCCCTCGGCAGGGCCCCGGCAGGTCGCGGTGCCTCTTACTCGCACCCTCGCTCGCCCCCTGCGGCCGCAGGGAAGGTGGAGCTACCGGCGCTCGGCAGGGCCAGGGACGCTGACTGCGGCTCCGGGGCGGGGCGGCCCGGGGAGGAGGCGGGTCCCCCTCACCCCGCCTTGGGCTCCCCGCCTCGGCCGCCCCGGCTGCGGCCCCTGCGGCGGGCGGGCATGTCCGCGGCGCAGGTGTCGGAGCAGCGGGGCTGGAGAGCGGCGAAGGAGCCCCGGCGGCCCGAGCCGGGCTCGCCCCGCGGGGAGGAGGCGGTGGAGGAGGAGGAGGGCGGCCGGAGCAGGGAAGCCCTGGCGCCCAAGGAGAACGCGTGGACGCGGCGCAGAGCCCGGCGGGACAGCCCGTCCCCGCCCGCGGGGGCAGACGGGCGGCTCGGACCGCAGGAACCAGGTGCGGCGCCGGGGGTCGTGCGGTGCCTTTGTTGAATCGGGGTGGTTTTGGTTTTGCTTTTGGTTGCTTTTTGTTTTTTGTTTTTTGTTTTTTTTTTTTTTTTAGGAGCGAAAGGCGCGTGTTTGTGGGCAGCGGAGCCGGGCCCGGGCGCAGCGCGGCGGGAGCCGGGCCGGGCGCGCTGTGTTTGACATACATGGGCAGAGGAGGGAGGCGGACGGGGCGGGTGGACGCGGGGACACGGCCAGGGAGAGGGAGCGCCGTGCTGGCTGCGGGTCGTGGGGGTTGCGAATGGTCCGGTGGTGACCTCCGGCCGGCCCCTGGTGCTGGCAGATAGAGCTGGTCACTTACTCGTCTCGTTTTGCCTCTCTTTAGAAATATCGCTTTGCCGCAGCGCTTTTTTTTGCTAATTATATAGCAAGGCCCTCGGAACGATCCGTTACTTGGTTTTGGTTTCGAGAAGATTTGGGTTGTGGAGGCTTTAACTGCTGGCAAAAGCAGGCAGTTTGCTTGCTCTCGGGATTCAGCGTGTTTATGTGGAAGGAGCGAGAGTAGCCACGGTATAATTTTCTGGCCTTTAATCACTGCATGTAAGATAAAGCTGCTTTATAGGCACCACACTGACTGAACAGGCATATGGCTTTATAGAGTTGGTCGTCAAAGACCCGACTTGAAATTATCAGGCTTTATGCTTAGGCAAGCAAAGAGTTCCT